TTAAACTGGTCCTTTTATCTCAAATTTATGGGAAACATCTATCACTTATCTTGGTTTCTCAGAAACAAGCAGCTAAAATTAATCAGTCCTGCAGACAAGAGCAACAGGATGGCAACTGTAAGCTGTGATTGTGTTCAGTTCAAACTGTGCTGCTAATGTAATATCCCCTTTATGATGCGTAGAGTAAACAAACTTAGGTGAATGATACTTAAAAATGTCAGATTTTATAAATGACACATCGCTTCCTGTTGAGCACTTTCTACTTCAATTAAAGATACTCTGTGATATTTTTAGAGAACCTTTCAGCTCTTTACTGTATCAGGTCTTTCATATTTACTAGTGGGTACCCTCTGGTTATAGAAGTGATAATCTGTCCTATGACCCTCTAGCCAGACTTTGCTAATATAAAAAAGTACATAACAAAATAAGAAAACAGTGCTTTTCAGAGAAATGTGGGAGCCTTAAAAATTGTAAATAAACTTGTGTTCTGAGGTCAAATTGACCGTAAAGATAAAAAGGTAACTTTTTAAAATATCACTTGCTATTGTTTGTCAGTTTCAGAAAACTTTTTTCAGAAAAATTTGTATCCAGTACTGATGGAAGTAAGTCATTCTTTGGCTGAATATTTAGAGTTGAGAAAACATACTAGTTATTCTAGGAACTTTAAGCAGTTGTTTTAGGATAGGCTGTTTCCATGGTGCATCTCTGCATATACCCTTATGGAACAAAAGCTTTTTAATTTTGAGGGTGAAAGACGGACAGTAATTTGGAAGCGATTTCTGTTGCTTCCTGTGCTGTAATCAAAAAGTAGCAGTCTGTTACAATGCTGAAAATGTAAGAACACTCAGAAGTGACTGGGCTATTTGAACTGCATAGTAGAGAGCATTTACAGAATTATAGTCAATTGTCACAAATTGTTCTTGTGTATAAAGTGACCAGGAAATCCAAGATTTGTGGGCTCTGCACACCTGAAGTTTTGTTCTGTGCTGGCATGTAAGCATATGCTTTTGTTTTGTTTCGTAGCAGGCTCTTTAACACAATCCATGCATAACAAAAGCATGAAATAAAAATAAAGATTGCACAGACAGACATGAATCTTAAATTTGCTGTCTTGAAAACTTGATTAGTGAGTGGTGGAGAGGAATGAACTTTGTGAATTGATATACACAACTGTCCAGTACTGAAATGTGCGGTAGCTGAAGTAGAGCTTTCGTGTGTTGTGTAGATTGAGAGTTTAAATTTTCAGATCACTTTCAGATGCATTTTGTAAAACTGAGAAGAGAGCTGTATCTTGGTTTTACTTATTAGACTATTGTGTTGAATAATGATGAATTTTGAATGAACTTAAAATTCTGTCTTCATTAGTGGTTTGGTTTGGTTTCCTCTCTTGTTGTGGAAATAAATAAGTTTCCCATTTAAGTTTTGTTTTCATTATCTTCAAAAACATATTTAAATATTTGACTAGGTACAGTATCAGTGCTCCCAGATGTTTGTGTTTCATGAGATGCTCCAAAACACTCCTGTGGCAAGGAAAGTTATTTAATACGGTAGCATGGACTGTAGCCTTGCATACTTCTTAAGAAAAAAAAAAAAAAAGTAATAAATAATAGTAGCAAGAAAGCTTTTCCTGTTCTCGTTTCCCTAGGAAGATGTTGATATTCCCAGTAGGCGAGTTTTGATTACTGGTGCTACGGGACTTCTTGGCAGAGCTGTGTTTAAAGAATTCAGTGAAAATAATTGGAATGCAGTTGGCTGTGGATACAGGAGAGCTCGGCCCAGATTTGAACAGATTAATCTTTTGGACTCTGTTGCAGTTCATGACATTATCCATGATTTTCAGGTAAGTTTCTGGAGTGTGAAGTGGATGGATAGTGTACTTTATACATCTATAATCACTTGATAGTGATGCTCTGATACAGAGTTCATGGGGCTTTAGTGGGGCTAATGCTTTGGCAGAGCTCTGAAAAACTTATCTCTGCCTATTCTGCCACACCTGGAGTGTAGTTTGCTCTGTAGACACAGATAGTTCTGGACTTTGCTATCATCACCATAGACAGACTGCAGGTAGCAGGTGTATGTGTCAGCACTATTACAGTGATAAATGTACTCTTGACATAGTAATGTGAAACAGTTCTTTTGAAGTGGAAGAATATTTGAATACAACAGCAATAACTGTATGTCTAGTGTGTACTGCAGTAAGAAGTTCATTTTTTTTTCCAGTGTAACTTGCAAGGGAAATATATAAAACCTGAAATACTTTATGTAGGGTCCCATTCTATAAAGTGGCTTTAAATGTCTTGTTAATAGCTTGCATGTGTCAAATAAGCCATGTGTAAATAGCTTATCTAAAAGTAGTTTGGCTAATATTTGGGGTTTTTTAAATACCATTGTGTGTTTGTGTGATATATATGTTACTGATATATTTTATATTATTATACAGAATTAAAAAGAAAAAAACCTTAACAACTTTCATCTTGCTGTAAAATTGAATCTACTGAAGATCATAATGGCAAAATTAATGATCATGGTTTTTTGTATCTTGAAGCAGCATGGTTCTGTTGTACTTCTCAAGGAAAGCATGCTTCTCCAAATGCCATGATTAAAAATAATACTACTACTTTTATTACTCCTCACAACTTGGTGAAATGCCTTTTTGCCTGAGGGAGTTCATCACTAGAGCTAGTGTGCAACAGCAATCTCTTGACAACGTTTGGTGTTTAAAATTAGTCTTTAATTTCCAGCCTCATGTTATAGTGCATTGTGCTGCTGAGAGAAGACCAGATGTTGTAGAAAGTCAACCAGATGCTGCTTCTCAGCTCAATGTGGCTGCTTCAGGGAACTTGGCAAAAGAGGCAGGTAAAGAGACCATCTAATGGATTTGGTTTCTTGTTAAAATTCTGCATCTGTTTATACAGGGACATGAATACTATTAAGTTGCTCAAAGTGTTGAATGTCATTTCTGTGATCAGTGTGCCATCGATCCATTTTCTGTAAGGGTAGCATGCATGCCTACATGAACAGACAGAGCAGTGGGAATGAATGGGGCTAGAAGATGAGGTCCTTTGGAGATTTATCGAAAGGTTTATTGGGATGTCAAACAAGAAGTTAATTAAAATAGACTATGTATAAACATTTTCTTCCTAGCTGGAGTTGGAGCATTTCTTATCTACATTAGTACAGACTATGTATTTGATGGAACAAGCCCTCCTTATAAAGAGTCCGATGTACCAAATCCCCTGAATTTGTATGGTAAAACCAAACTAGATGGTGAAAAGGCAGTCCTGGAAAATAATGAAGGTAAGAATATACTCACACATTTTTAATAGAGGCTTACTTAGTTGTGTATTAGCTTAATAGAGTCATAAGTCAGTGGTAAAGTTGCAAAATCATGGAAAGAAGATTTAGAAAAGAATGTGATTAGTCTCCTTGCTCACATAATTCCTATTGCTTATAGGTTGACTAAAGCTTTATGTCTTGTTTGTATCTTCATTTGTGTTTCTGGTCTCTGCTGATGGACATTCACAAGCCTTTGTCTACTGTGAATCAGTACTTCTAAGGAAAGATCAAATACATCATCATACGTTGTAATGGCCCAAGCTTTACCTCACTTAATATATATCTGCTGTTATTTAGGGGGATGCATTGCAATTGTTCTAAATGTATGTTTACTGAAAGGGAAAAACAGACTTATGATTCAATAACAATGCAGATAAAATCATCACAGGCATTTGTTGTTACTCTTTTGGTTTCTTGCTGATCTCCTGTTTTGCTCTCATTACATAAGCTATCAAGCCATCCATTTTTTTTTTTACCACTTAGCTTACCACACACATTAGATTACTGCTTGAAACACTTTCTAAGGGGTTAGTAACATATTTCTGTTGTTAAGCAACTAATTTTTTTATTTATTATTTACATATTTTCTTAACGAAAGTTTGCATTCAAATGCACAAAGATAACTTAAAAAAATCTACTCAATAAGGGAAAAAAGCTTGTGACTGGACATGTTTCCTTGCATTTAAAAATTATTTATTGTATAAAAGAGAGGTTTGGTTGTTTCTAGTTAGTATGCTGCTAGTTTCCATTCACAGATTGTGAGAAAAGAAGCACTTCTATTTTCTCAAAGGATTTGAAGAAAATAATCTCAGTGCACTTGCAGAAGAGGCTTCTGATATGTCAGTCTTGCACTGTGATTCTGTTCTGTTCTAACTAGAGAATTGAACAATTGATAAATTAGTGTCTTTCAGTAAGTAAATATATACTGTATTTGAAAATGACAGGCCTTAATATAGGTTTGCCATTGCTAGTAGGAAATAGACTTTCTAAAAAATAATTCAATAGGAATAGTCTTATTTAAGTAAAAATCAATTTAAATAAAAGGTTATTCACCTCTTACTTAAATATAATCTCTGAATTTGATTGTGATGCTGTTTGCTCCCTCTTTTATATTGATAATGAAAATAAGACTTTACCAAATTAAAGTATGTGTGGGTATCTGACTAGATCCTTCCCCCAGTGCGACATAACCTTTTTGAGCATGATCTGTCAGGCAGTAGTGGGTTCCAGCAGCAGTGTTGTTAGCACAAGGAATTTTGAGTGCTGAGTAAGATGCTTGAAAATGTCAATTCTATTACTTTGTACAAATATAACCATTTTGCATGTATTAGCCTTCCAACCACTAATTTGTTAGTATTGTATAGGTAGAATTCAGTCTATCAAAAGATGAGGAAGAACTTCTTTACTGTGAGGATGCTAGAGCACTGGAACAGGCTGCCCAGAGAGTTTGTGGAGTCTCCTTCTCTGGAGATATTCAAAACCCGTCTGGTTGTGATCCTGTGCAACCTGCTCTAGCTGAACCTGCTTTGGCAGGGGGAATGGACTAGATGATCCTCAGCGGTCCCTTCCAACCCCTACCATTCTGTGATACTGTGAAATGCCTGTAGTTGTGTGAAGAACTTCCCTATCCATTTCTATTGTATAATGCAAGAATCTCCACTAATAATTTGGGGGTTTTGTTTATTTTTTTTTAAATATGTTTTACTTCTGTTAGGAGGAGATATGAGTTATGTTTAGTACTCAGGCTTGTAAAACTAAAAAAAATTCAGTAGGTCTTCAGAACCATTGGTAATGAAGCTAATGCTCTCCAAGTCTCAGCTAGCTCTCTGAGAACAAATGGAAGGCAGTTTTTTTTTTCTCAAATAATGAATACTTCTAAAGATATTAAAAGGAACCTCAAAATGAGACCACCTAAATGAGATCACACAGGAAGGTGTCC